TTCTGGGTGGAAAACAAGTTATACACCTCTCCCTTTGAAGAGATAACCCGCCAGTGTTTAACATTCCTGTTTTCCCTGGTACTTACCTATGAGTGTAAGGACCTCCACGCCTCTTACAATTGCCTCAAAATATTGTATGATAAGGAGACTATGTCCATCTCCCTCTTGTTGTTGACTTTATTTTGATCACTAGATGTAGCATTACCTGCCTTCCCATCATATAATTACTGCTTGTCTCTGTGTTCCTTAAGTGAACGGTTGTATTCTGTTCATCAAAATTTCTCTCCCTCCTTAGCATTAATAGTTACTTTAGTTTGAGTCGATCTTTGCTCCAGCTGGTGGCAGCTCTTTCCACACTACTGAGTCAATCCTCAGAATCCCATTATAGCAAGACTTCTTTTTTTTTTTAATTGAAAATATTTTATTTTTTCTGTTATTAAACTATTATGCAAGAGCAGAAAATTTTGTTATGTACAGCAAAAATGCGTAGTTCACAGCACATAATAGTTTCACATCTGAGCCTAAGAGGCTTAGGCAGTTTGTGGTGTGGCTTGGCATGGCAGCCAGCAAGCAGTACGCAGTGTCCTGTGTTCCTTCCTACCCACAGCTACAAGGAGGTCCCGTAATGCAGTATGAGTGAGCGGTTCCCAGACACCTCAGATTCCTTGCACGTTGGCGTTTGAACTATTTCTTGGTGGTTGTGTGTTCTGAAACCCTTTCCTGTTGCCACATTGTTTTTTTTTTTTTTTTAAATCCTCACAGTGATACATGATCCCAGTGAGGTTGTGACAGGCAGGTTAAGAGGCAGATTATTACAGTACAAGCTAAATAGCCCCCCCCCCCCCACTTCTTTCCTTCATGGTATCACAGATTGTTATTCTTTCGGTGGTTTATAATTCATTACTGTTCTGAATTCCTGTTGTATGCAAATTATCCTATTATTCTTGAGATGTACACAGCCTCACATTTTCTTCTTCTCCCCCACCGTTCTCTCTCTCTAATATTTTTTTTAGCACTATTGTGCTTTCTGATATAGTGAGATGTTCCAGAATATTTGTTGGGCTTTAACTATTAATTTGGTTGTGAATGTACATGTGAGATGTTCGGGATCAGAGATACGTTCCTTAGTAAATACTGTACAGTGAAGAGTGAGAGGCAGGCATAATGGTGCACACCTGGAGTCCCAGCTACATGGGATATTGAGGCAGGAGGATCACTTACACCTAGGAACTCAAGGCCAGGGCATGTAACACAGAGAGACCTTGCCTCTAAATAAGAAGTAATTAATGAGTCAACCCCATTTGCCTAAGTTTTTGCTGTTAAAGATGATCCATCAAAAGCCTGGACCGTTGTCCCGAATACTAGCCAGACACTGCTCAGGCAAGGACTTCCCAAAAGTGGTTGCCTTTATCTTTGGAAGCTTCAAGCCCTTAGATTCCTTCTCTGGTGTTCAGATATATTTCTGTATCTAACAACGCATACTCATAGGACACACACACACACACACACACACACACACACACACACACACACACACACACAAACACACACACGCGCATATACACTGATGGCCAGCTTCGTGCTGTGTCTTCGCTTAACCTTTCTTCCAGTGCATGCACGAAGACCCTGGTGCCTCTTCCTCTGGTAAGGTCATCACATTTAGTGGATGAGGGCTCTACCCTATGGCCTCACTTAACCCTCAGTACCTCCCTAGAGGTCCTGTCTCTAAATACAGACACACCATGAATCAGATTTTCATCATTTGAATGGAGCACAGCCCTACATAGAGAGAAAGTGATCTGGGAAGAAAAAAGTCCCAATGAGAACTAGTCAGAGGTAAGGTCTGAACAGTGGAGTTATGTGCAATCATAGATGAGTACCCCCTTCTGTGTGTGTGGTGTGTGTGTGTGTGCGGGTGCGTTCTCCACTTGTTTTCTATATATTAGTATTTGTTACTTTGTGGTTGGGAAGGTTGCCTTGAGCAGCAACACATATCTCCCTGGAGTAGCCTTTTCTTGCTAGATGTTCTTCTAAGCTCTGTTGCTGTGGGGGTGATTGAGTTTCCTCATCATGATTTCACCCCTCCCCCATCAGGATCCTTTGAACCAGGTCTTACTGCTTTGCCACATAAGTACAGGGCCCTCAGTTAAAAGCTTTGCTCTTTCTAATATTGACTGGTACCTTAGGTAAGGCCTTATAGGATGTGTTGTGTGTGAACAAAACATTTTAGACCTAGAGAGGAGAGGTAAGTCTACCGAGACCACAGAGGTAGCTATGGGGGGAGCAGGGCAGAGATTCACACTGCCAGCCCTCCATAGGTCTCAGGGAATCTTTCTTTGAGGTAGTGTTTCAATTTCACCTGGTAGGAATGGATGTGGATGTGTTCAGAACCGTGTCATTGGGAGTGTGGGAGGGATGGGTACAGTGATGCTTCATGGCTTTCCCCTTTTCCCTCCAGAAGATCCCAGCCCTGGCCACTTTCTGCTCTCCTCTCCCTACGTGTACCACTTATATAAACTCCTGGGGGCTGTGAGCGTGTGTGTGTGTGTGTGTGTGTGTGTGTGTGTGTGTGTGTGTGTGTGCGCGCGCACGCGCGCCCGAAGACTACCAGAAGCTGACTCACCTTTGGGATACAGATGGGAAGTACCAACCACTTGGCTCCTGCCCACATTTGTCTCTCTATTCTAACCACAACTTATAATCCCCAAACAGACACCTCACTTATAGAATGGAAATTAGGTTTGGCTATAAGTGACAGGAACCACCTCGTCTCTTCCCCCAAACTTTCTTAATTAGACCAAAATGTATTCCTCCGTCTTCTGAAAGTTCAGGGCAGACACTGTGGAGTTGCACATTATCTGCTGGAACAAAATGCCAGGCCCTTCTACTTTTTATTCTGCTGCTGTCAGCATGCGACATCATGATGACCATTCAAGCTCCAGACACCACTTCCCCATTTCAGCCACCAGGACAGGAGGGTCCCCTCTGGGAAGCCACACTCATTACATATTACTGGTTAGAATGTGTTACATAGCCATTTAACTACAAGAGAAGCTGGCGAGTATTTCTTTCAGATAGCCTCTTCTAGGTTGCCACTCAATGAAATAAATATTTGAGGTGCTCCCAAGGAAGGAAGAAAGAAAGAGTTCATGACGACAGCTCTTCATTTTCACCAGACTCTCACATCTTCTTGTATTGGGGATCTGCACTTGTTCTCTGTGTTCAGGACATTCTTGCTCCCTCAAGCAAGAATACCATGCCACCCCCATGTTCATATGGCATGGCATGTTCATATTTATCATCCCTTAATGTTTCAACACCCCATTGTCATCCTTATATAGTCTCTAGTGTCATACTATTGTATGTCTAGACATGGTTTCATTGTTTACCATCTCTATCTGGCTCTGGCCACCTGGAGGGCAGGGACTGTGTGTAACCCTTGGCTTCCTAGCAACCGATCTAACTATACAAATCCTGGCTGATGTGAGTCCTCCACTGGTAGCTCCTGTCTCTTAGAAGAGCATGCTCTGCAAAGATTATGTCTGCAGGCTTGTAGGGATCCTCTGTCTATTGGAAGGGATAGAGAAGTTCATGACATAGCTATTCTTTGTACCATACGTAGATCTCACTTAGTGTCATTGGAATCAAGGGCACAGCAATGGGCTGTATGTTTTGGGAGTCTCTTGGACAGCCCTGACCAGCAACTCAAAAGTGGGCTTCCTGTGTCTGGTATTGACATTTTTGTTAGGTGCTCTTTGGCTCTTGGAGGGGGCACTGTTAGCCTAGATTGAAAAATTAAACTATATTTGTATATTTATACATGAAATTACACGTGTAGGGTTTCTTTAAGGTAAATAGTTAATAGTATGAGTTCTGTGGCTTTTTCAGGCATCCGTATTGCTCTTTCCCATATCCCTCCTTTCCCAGTATTTACCTCTCCACTCCCCAGGGAGCCTCGCTTTTCCGTTTCCCTGATTATATTGCTTGTACCCGCTGTTCCCTCTCCATGACTCCCCAGCCCCGCTGTCCAGGCAGTGGTCCTCTTTCACTTTCCTGCTTTCCGTAGTTACTGCAGGCTGCGTCCTCACACCTGAAGATTGGGAGCTAGGAACCTCCACTAAGACAGAATATGTGACGTTTGTCTTTCGAGGCCTGGGTTACCTCACTCAGTATCATCTTTTCTAGTTCTATCCATTTCCTCACCAAGTTTGTGATTTCATTTTTCTTTCCAGCTCCATAGCATTCCAAGGTGCATAGGTAACATTTTTATTATCTGCTCATCAGCTGAAGGACATTTGGGTTGTTTCCGTTTCCTAGCTGTTATGAATAGAGCAGCAATGACCATGGCTGAGCAAGTGTCTGTGAACTAGGATGCTGAGTCTTTGGGCACATGCCAAGGAGTGCTGTGGCGTCCGTGCCATCTGGGTTTATCCTTCCCTCTGCCACTTAGGATTGTCTATTTCTTACCAAAGATAGTGGGTGGGCTCATCGTTATATTTTACGTCGTGTTTATTTAAAGCTTGTCAGGCACGTGACCTTGTCACGTCCCTGGTGATTCGGCAAACTTGGCTGTTAGGAATTTGGAGAGGGACTGTAGCTGGACTGGCAGACGCTAGCAGGGACCCAGTATCCTCAGTGTATCTGTAACTGGGTCCAAGCTTGCCTGTGGCATCTTTGAAAATGGGCCATTACTTTTCATTTCTCTTCCCCTGGCAAGGTATGAGTATAGGACTAGGGTTCTGTACCATTTCACTGTGACCCTTTAGATTCAGAGTCTGAGTGGGGCCCTTCCTACTCCATGGCTAACAGCTTGTTATAAACACAATTCACGTGAGCATCGTCCCTGTCTTTCCATTGAAGGTAAGCGCTAAACCAGCTTAGGTCCTCATATGGAGCTCTGGGTCGCAGATGGTCCCAACCTGATGATGTGAAATTGTAATTATGAGCCAAATGTGTACACATAAATGCTTACCTTACATCTTGTCTCCTTCTCACTGCAGCTAATCACCACAGAAAAGCACTTCCTGAAGAACACCTTGTACAACGAAGGAATCCTCATTGTGTGGGACCCATCTTTGTACCATGCAGATATTCCAAACGTAAGTGGACCTCCCATCTGCCCTTAGATTTCTGTGTTTCTAGAATTCTTTTTTTTTTTTTTTGGAGACAGGGTTTCTCTGTGTAGCTTTGTGCCTTTCCCAGAACTCACTCTGTAGCCCAGGCTGGCCTCGAACTCACAGAGATCCGCCTGCCTCTGCCTCCCAAGTGCTGGGATTAAAGGCGTGCGCCACCACCGCCCGGCTTGTTTCTAGATTTTTGAAGTCGTAGCTGACTGAGCCATTTCTGGCTGGCTGAGGTTTGGGCAGCCCATTACGTGGGGGCTAGCACATTCAGACCCCCCATCCTAACCAGCCCCTCTGCATGCCTTCCCTGGAGTTCATTTGCGTATTTTCCAGTGCTGGCACATATTGGGAGGGATGGAGCCTGGACCAGTGGTAATCTGGAGTAAGGTCTGTTCCTCAATGCTTACAGTGTTCCTCAACGCTTACTGTGTTCCTCAATGCTTACAGTGTTCCTCAATGCTTACTTGCTGTATTCATCATCAAGGCAGCTTACTCCTGATGAGCCCTGGTGGGAGAAGAATTTACCATCTTTCCTCTCAATAATGTTGTCTCATTTCTGCTCCTCACTTCCAAAGTCTAGAATTCTCATCTCACTCTTGTAACACTATCAAGAAGTCTGTGGAAGTGTGGCGGCTCCCATTTTACAGATGGGTAAGCTGAGTGTAGCGAGGAGAAACCTGTGCCAAGGCTAGCTTTCCTAACTCAATGTCATAGATCTGCAATATCAATTGTTTTAGGGAAAAAGATGTGAGTCACAGGTTATCTGAAACTGTCCCCTCATTTTTTGTTATATATGTAGGTTAGCCTCTCTTGACATGGGCTATAGTAGCCTTGAGAGAATAGCTTTACAGAAGCAGGACAGAAAGCTCTTCTCTTGGCACACTTAATCCTGAAACGCCCACTGATGGCTAGTTGGCTGTGGCAATCACCAGTGCCCTCACTTCTGAAGTCGACGGTTTCCCACTGATCTCAGTTAGATCCCAAGTCTGCCTGAGTCAGATGAAGGACTCTTGAACCCACAGAGGCAACTACTTGGGCCCCAGTTTCCTCGCCTTCAATAGTAAGAGTACTTAGGTATACTGGTCCTGGCTCCTGGGGAAGCTGAGGCAGGAGGATCACTTGAGACCAGGGGCTCAAGGACAGCCTTTGCCAAATAGTGAGAACTGCTTACACACAAACAAATGAGCAGCAAATAAAGGACAGTTTAGATGGTGCAGAGGCCCCTTTAAGCTGACACCACTCCCAGACTCTGACATCTAAAGCCCTTCCAAGGTCACCAGTCCAACACTCCTATAAGCATAGACTATGTCCTGGGCCCTACTCACTATACATATATATGTATGTGTGTGTGTGTGTGTGTGTGTGTGTGTGTGTGTGTGTGTGTGTGTGTGTGTCCCACCCACCAAGGGCTGAGATTTGGAGATGTTTGTGATCTGCGGCAAGACCAGGCTGATATCTGGCAAGAATGTTTGTGCAAGGAGCCCATTCCTTTACTGATCCAACCACTTCCTCTTTTTCCAGTGGTACCGGAAGCCAGACTACAACTTCTTCGAAACGTATAAGAGTTATCGCAGGCTGTACCCCAACCAGCCCTTTTACATGCTCAGGCCTCAGATGCCATGGGAACTGTGGGACATCATTCAGGAGATCTCTTCGGATTGGATTCAGCCAAACCCTCCGTCCTCCGGCATGCTGGGTGAGTCCGTGTGTGGAGAAGTCCTGTGTTGTTTTGTACAAGCGGTTGGCTTTCTTCTTGGGTCTCAGTCATTCACCAGAACAGTCGCTCAGTTTGTACACTGTACTAAGTTCTAGATCAAATAAGATGCAATTTTTCTCCTTAGGACGTCTGCCGAGGGAGTTCAGTCCGACAGCTCAGGCCATATTCGGTCTGTGCCACAATAAAGAGACCCTTGCTGTTTTGGGAGAGAAGAACCCCGCTAGCTGGATGGTCAGAGATAGTTCTGTGGAGGAGAGAAGTCAGGACGATAGTTCTGTGGAGGGTTTGACATGGAGCAGTAGACTAAAGGGAAGAACAAGCAAAGAGAAGGGAGTGAGAAAATAGGACCTTGGATGGATGGAGCGAGCAAGACTCCGTCTTAGGCTTACAATTTAAAGCATATGCCAAAACTCATTAATCAAGTAATATTTTAAGTCAGTGTCTTTAAAAATCACAATGCCAAAAATTATAATGAACAAAATGTTACATATTTAAATACAGATAGAGCTGGTAACACGGCTCTGTAGAATCGTGCTGGGAACCTGAATCAGTCGTACCTCTCCTGCTTTGTGGATGCCTTGGTCACAACCCTGAGAGAAGATGGGCAAGCTTGCCGTGTGGGGTCATGTTGGAAGCGGGAAGCTGACGTGGGATGGATTGACTGCTGGTCAAAGACCCTCTTCTTAAGCTCTTTCCACGTCCCTTGGTTCCCACTGCCCATCTATCCTTCCCTCCCTTTCTCTTTGGATGGATCACTGGGACATTTCCGTGAGTGTGCAGGCTGTCTGTGCAGAGGGATGGGCACGCCTTCCATGGATACCTACAGTGGGACACTCTGAACCAGGTGGTTCCAGGACCCACCACTGTGCAGTTGTATCTGTCTACGTCCCAGGCTCGGGTGCTAACTGTGTTTTATTTGTCCTCGTGGGTTTGGCATGGTAAATGTTCCCGGAGTGAATGAGTAGCTCTCCTATTAGAGGCAGAGAGGAAATTAGGGCCCTTACGGTGTGTCATCCCCTCTGTGACCTCCGCTTCAGCTTTTAGGTAGATGCGTCTGGGTTCTTCCCGGGGCTTCTAGAGCGGCTACGGCTGACATGCCAAGGAGCACGCTGCCTGTGGCCCCACTGCCCTGCTGTTGGCTGTGTCCCTGTCCTCCCTCCGAAGTACACTGCCCTTTGACCCCACACCAGTGCTCTCAGGCCTTGCTGAGGAGAAGTGTCCCTTCCCGTCATTCCTAAGGGTGCCTTTGTCAGTCAGAGAGATGCTCTTCTTCCTCATGGAGCCAGGAGCAGTTGGAGGGCAGAAGTGTTCTTCCAGCACGTGATTCTTCCAGAACAAAGCTGCCGCCACCGTCTCTAGCTTCACCCCTGGTTGGGAGCTGCTCCATTTTAAAGATACCCTGTATTAATAGTCACTGAAAAAGGCTCTTTCCGTTGAGGTCTTGTTGGACCCAAACAATAACCTACACAGTAGGAGCATTGCAAGGCTCTCCCTCCTAGGGCATGTGAAGAGCTGAAGGCACATGGAGGCATTGTTTCCTGCACAAGACACCCCCGCCAGTCAGGGTCAAGTCTGGGTGGTCAGATGAGTCTTCTGCACCTGGATGGGCTTGCATCTCACTCCGCTGCTTCTCTGGACAGCACCAGAGTGGGCCGTGCTTTGGTTCTGCTTTCCTCTTGTCTCACCCCAACTAAAGGGGGGAAGTTTTCTGTCCTCGGAACTGTGTCCTACAGGTATTCTCTGAGTCAGTCTTCCTAACTGTTCTCTGTGAGGCTTTGGCAGGGTGTAGTAATGCTAGGAAGTGCCAAGTACAGTGATAGCCTTGTGTCACTCATTGTCTCTTTCACGTTGACTTACTGTAGCTTACTCCACTGATAAATTCACTGACGGAGTCCTTTAATCCTGTAGAATGGTGGAAGGTTCTACATGTCCGAAGCCATAGCCTTGGTGCTGGGGGTCCAAAGCTATAAAATGGACCAGTCTGTTGGCCTTGGCTTATCAGAAAAGCCCAGACTGGGGATCGTAGGAATAGATAGGACTCGGGGTGACTGCTCACCAAATTCAAGGTGCTGAGCAGTTACAGTCACCGGGCAGAGTTCCGGGCTGCTGGGCGTGACTCACCTCTGCTTCCTTCTGTAGGCATCATCATCATGATGACACTGTGTGACCAGGTAGATGTTTATGAGTTCATCCCATCCAAGCGCAAGACTGACGTGTGCTACTACCACCAGAACTTCTTCGACAACGCCTGCACGATGGGTGCCTACCACCCCCTCCTCTTCGAGAAGAATATGGTGAAGCATCTCAATGAGGGCACAGACGAAGACATCTATTTGTTTGGGAAAGCCACGCTGTCTGGCTTCCGGAACATTCGCTGTTGAGCACGTGTCTCGAGCCAGGCACTCTCATTCTTCTCCCTAGGTCATTATACGGCTAGTCTCCTGGTTACCCCTGCTTAGAGGAGGGGTAGCCAGGCCCAAGCCTGCTTCTTACACTCTAGGGAATTTTGTTGGCAGGAACCCTGGGGCTTCCAGAGCCTGATGGCAAGGAGGCAGACCCAGCCTTCCCTGCAGCCACAGAGCATAGGAGCTCAGACTCCTGCCACACACATTCACCCTAGATGGCACCCTCCTCTCCTTCCACACGGGCAGGGAAAAGAGCCACGGTTCTCAGCAGGGTTGCCAAAACCAGACTTTGTTTTTCCCAACCGGATGATGTCATCCTCCCAAACCAGCACCCTCCACGGCTTGAAATCTCTACGCAGGTATTGATTTCACACCTTAAAGAAGCCCTCCCAAGGCATGATTTGTTCCAGATGCAGGGTGGCTCAGAGGAGGGAAAACAAACCACTGGTGTGGGACATGGAAGCTTGCTCAGTGACTGCAGAGCAAAGTCATTCCCAAGGGCGCTTCCCTGGGGACATAGTCCCTGTTGTCACCCTGTCTGGCGAGGCTGATCCTTAAGCCTGGGTGCTGATGAGCAAAGGCTCTGGAGTAGCTCCCTTCCCTCTCCATGTGGAGACGAAAGGTACAGAAACCCCCTGTCTCCGTCCTCAACCCATTCACTTTGAGTAGACGAGACAGACACCCAACAGGCAGCTCGAATGTAAACATTCCATGTGCTCAGGGTGCTGGGCTTTAGAGAGAGGGCGCTGCTGTCTGTACACCCAGGAGGAGCCGGCTCCACCATGTTCTTGTAAAGCTGTGTGTGGCATTGGGGCCGTCTTAGAGGAGAAGACACATGTCAAGTAGATGTCACCTGAATCAGAAGGGCTGCGTTTTCCTTTCTCCTGTTATCATCCCCTTACGTTCTCTAAGACCTGGTAGGACATGGGACCAAGATATTTTTGTTAGGATGCCCCTACCCACTCCGGCAGCAAGTGCTGCCCCACAGTAGACACCAGGCGAGTCAGATAGACCTGGGGCTCTTTTTATCTTTTTTAAATGTCTACTCCCTAGCCTTCTAGCTGCTCTCGTTACCTTCCCTTAACTCAGTCACCCCTCCCAGATTACTTTTAATCATTTTCTGTTTGACAGATATCCTGACCCCCAACTTCTTTGACCTCATGGAAGGTCTCTCAGGGCATGGGGACTATGTTTTCTAGGACTTAGGTTAGAATCTTAATCAGAACTGATCCTCACAAGGTGTGAGGTGTGTGATTGATGATTGTCCTGCTCTCTCCACCAGTTCCCTGCCAGGGAGTGACATTGGTCTCTGGGCAGGAAGCACCCACGGTGTTTGGCAAGCATACTCTCACAAGGATTTTCTGAGACCTCTCTCCCTGGTGGGGAACTGCAGTGGTCCACTCAGCCCGTGGTCCAATGACTTGTTTATGGTTAAAAAAAAAAAAATGAGTGCAAATGGAACGAGGCCACCGAGATACAGTCCAGTGGACTCCCAAGCCTGGCCCTGTGTGCTCACAGGGCTCCAGTGTTTGAGCTTCAGACACCTGTTTACTGCTGACCCCTTGCCTTATACAGACAATAGAAAGCCTGAAGGGAAAGGCCCTGGGTTTTCAGGTTGACCCCCACTGACTCACTGTGCCACTTTACACAGAGTCTCTTCTTCAAGGCTTTGTTTGCATATCTGTAAAATGGGGGTGACAATCCTACCTCACAGGGCTGTGTGGGGACCACAGGAGGGCATGTGGCTGGACTGTGTCCATGGTGCATAGGAAGTAGGTACCCTGCTGTCCTTATTTACTCATGAAGGGCCTGCTCAGTGATGCATGTTGCAAGGGAGAGCAGTGGGGAGGAACATGGCAACTGCCCCATTTGCAACACTCACGAGCCTGCCCTCCTGCCTGCCTGCGCCTCAGGTCTCTGTCTGCTTGAGGGTGCACGGAGCATTGGCCTGCTTGGCTGCTGTGTGGGACGAGGCTAGGGAATCCTTGGCTTCCTTCAAGTTCTCGTCTCACGTGCTCATTATAACGCATCAGGACCTGGGGACGGAGCGCCCAGGAAGCTGACATTCCGTCAGCAGGAGGTACATGTTGATGTAGGGATGGAGACTACACTGGGTAGATTCTAGTTTTTAACTGTTATTAATGTGGAGGAATAAATTAATTAAATGTAATGTGATTCTGGCATCTGTAAAACTTTCTCTGTGTTCTGTAAATGTGGAGGCCTGAGTAAAATAGACTATGACATGGATGTAAGTGTTATTGATTTGATGAGATGTTTAATATTTGCGACAGACAGTTTACAGTCTGTGATTGACAGGAAGGCCTCCGTGTACACAGGCACTGACTTCAGTAGCCATCTATGCATCCTCAATCATGGGATCTTTCTGCCAATTGAATCTACTGTTGGTCTGGGGTTTGAGAGTGTGACAGAGACTTTAACAGCATACCTGTTAATTCTAAATTATCCAAAGACTGTACAAATTTTAAAATAAATCTTTTCCAAAAATCTGCCTCTTTTCTTCATACCTGCTAAAGGGGATGACCAGTGGTCCACTCTTCTGTCCCGAGAAGACACATCTAGACTGCCAAGTCCCCCGTACTCCCCTAGGAGTCTCTGGCCTTAATCTCCCTCTTTACCACTCCAGGAAAAGGTGTACAGGTGTTTGTATTTATTGTCAAGGACAGAATCTTAGAAATGTTGATGGTTTATTGATTTTTCTATTTACTTTTGCTAGACACAGGTGATGAAGCTTTCATTCACACTACACTTTAGGAGAGAGGAGGGCACAGAATGAAAGGAAAGCCCTTGTTCCAGATTCCAGAACCCTTAGATTTTTAGGGTAGTAACGTTTCAAGGGAATAGCCAAGAGAGTTCGGAGAAAAATCCTGAAGAAGAGCCGAGTTTTTGGAGGGGGATTTCTTTTTCCCTAAATTGGCTTTCAAGATAAGGGCGTCTCCCCAAATCCTTAATATTGAGTTCCTAACCTTAGGACTTAGAATGGAACCTCTTTGGAAGTGGATCATGGCACATCGAATTATTTAAGATGAGGTCATGCTGCAGCAGGGTGGGCCCCTCTTCCAGTGTGACTGGTGTCCTCATAAAAAGGAGAAATCTAGAGACAGGCACACACAGAGAAAACACTATGTAATGATGAAGGCTGAGGTCGGGGTGATGTACAAGCCACGGAATGCCAAAGATTGCCAGAAACCTGCCAGAAGCTGGGGAAGCCGCCTGGAACAGATTTCTCCCTCACAGTCCTCAGAGGGACTAACCTCAGTCTGGGAGTTCTGGCTTCTAGAAGTTTGAGACAATACACTTGTGTTGTCAAAGCCACACACTTTGAGGCCCTTAACAAATCAAGCCTAATGCCTCCTCCCTCCACACCACCACTGCCACTTTTTTTGGGGGGGGGGTTTGGTTTTTCCAGACAGGGTTTCTCTGTGTCGTTTTGGAGCCTGTCCTGGAGCTCGCTCTGTAGTCCAGGCTGGCCTCGAACTCACAGAGATCCGCCTGGCTCTGCCTCCTGAGTGCTGGGGTTAAAGGCGTGCGCCACCACCACCCCACCCCATCTTGCGACTTTCAGCTGCAGCTTCCTGGGCTGGGGATGGGAAAGGCCCTTGAAGGGTGGTACCTACTACCCGGCTAGGACTTTGGGAAATACAGCCATAGATACTGAGGCGAGTGGGGCTTCTTCCGGAAGACAGGACCCTTGGCAGCCACGTGTGGTCACACCTTGACCCGAGTCCTCCTGCTTGGCCAGAGAACACTGAAGTGTATCCCCGACCCTTCATCCGATGCTTTGGCTTTGTGAACTCCTTGGCCTCCTGCATCTCCATAATTGATAGAGAAGCATTGCTATTTAGATCCCACAAGAATGGGAGTTGGAAGCAGAAGTTACAGGAAAATGTTTCTATTTGGCCAACTTTCCAGTGGCTCTGTGCCTGAGGACCTTCCCGCTGGGCTGCTGAGCTGGTGGGTGCGTCTCCATCTGTGTCTGGAGACTGCTTTCTCTTGTTCTTCACTCTGGGATCTGACTCTGTTTTTAAGGTATACATGTTAATGATGGGGGCTGTGGAAAGTGGGATCCCGGTTCCTTGGCTGATTGTAAGAAGGAAGAAGCACGCCTCCTTAAGAGGGAGGCTCACCTGACCCTCCATGCCCACCCCACCTGTAGGGCTCTGTTCACTGTCAGCCCAGTGCTCAGTGTCTTAGAGAAAGTTCTTCTGTGCCAGCTCACAAACTGTTAGTGCACTGAACTCCCACTGACATCTGCCCCCTAGTCAAACGCCAGACTAGGAATGGGAGGAAGGGCATGTCAGATCTCAGGGACTGTCAACTACCTTATTCCCGGCTCCTTGTCCTTGGTGAGATGCTGTCGCCCTCAGCACAGCCTCTAGGATGTACTCTGATGTGTGTTATGGCCCTGGACTGGATTTCCCCTCTCTTGGGAGGCAGGAGTGCTCCAGAAAGTTCCTCCCACAGGCTGGGAGATTGCCATCAGTTCAGGAGAGTGCAAAGGATGTTGTCATGCTCATACCCAGTCTTTCTCAGGATTAATTGGCAAACAAATTTTTATTGCTGTTGTTTTTCAAGACAGGGTTTCTCTGTGTAGCCCTGGCTGTCCTGGAACTCACTCTGTAGACCAGGCTGGCCTCAGACTCAGAGATCCGCCTGTCTCTGCCTCCCGAGTGCTGGGATCAAAGGCGTGTGCACATGAGCACCTACTGTGTGCCTGGCACCGAAAGATAATGATGTGTGTCATGGCTTCTGCCCTCCGTGAAACAGGAGCCTGGGAGATGGGCCTGCCCTGCCTACGTATAGACATTTTCAGCAACATTAACCTGGACAACAGTGCTATATTCTTGAGCACACATTCATAATTGCCCCGAAGAAAATACATGCAAATGGAGAAAAAAAAGTGGAGAAACGTGGTAGTGCAGGTCAAGTTCAAAGAGGAGGCTGAAGAGTCAATGGGACATAGGGAAGCCTTGGTGGACACCAATTTTGAAACACGGCAGGATTTTCCCTTTCTTTCCTCCTCCTCTTCCTCTTTCTTCTCTTTCTTCCCTTCTGGTCTTCCTCCTTCCCTCCATTGCCTCCCTCCTCTTTTTCTTCCCCCTCCTCTGGTGGGCTGCTGGAATTACAGGTGCGATTATTCCTTCCTCTCATTGGCTTTCTTCCGGGAGGAGGCAGGAACTGTCTTGTTTCTGCCGTGCTGTGTACACCAGGCTAGCTGGCCTGTGAACTTCCCATCCCACTATGAGTTCTGAGATTACAGACACGTGCCACCTGATCCAGCTTGTTACATCAATGTCTGGCATTGAACTCTGTGAGTCAGGTTTACACAGCTAGACCTTTACCTACTGAGTCCTCTCCCGGCACTCTTTGCGCTTGTCTGAAATGTATAATTTCAAACGTTCTATCTTTACATCCTCTGATACTTCTGTTTGACTAGTCTGTGGCTCATGTTTTCTACTAAAATGTTTAGCTCAGTTATCGAAATTCTGTATTTCTAGGGGCTCTAATTTTCTTATTTTTATGTCACTGTTAATTTCATATTGTTTATGAGTTAAAAATACATTATCCTTTCATCTAAGTTCTTAAAAATAAATATACTTTCCTTATGAAAAACTCAACAGATTAGATATAGAAAAAATACACCCCACATAATAAAGGCTTTTTATGAAAAGACTACAACTGGCCGGACAGTGGTGGCACATGCTTTTAATCCCAGCACTCAGGAGGCAGAGACAGGCAGATCTCTGTGAGTTCGAGGCCAGCCTGGACTACAAAGTGAGTTCCAGGAAAGTCACCAAAGCTACACAGAGAAACCCTGTCTTGAAAAACAAAAAACAAACAAACAAACAAAAAAGTCTATAACTAACATTTTCCTCAGTGGCAGATAATTAAAGTCTTTCCTTTAAGATCCGGAACCAGAGGAAAATAGCATGCTTGACACTTCTTTTCAGCACAGTATTGGACATCTTTGACCAAAATGGACATACTAGGCCATTCAACGACAATTCATTATTCTTTCATGATTAAAAAAAGTTCAACAAATCAACTATTCTGCATTAATTATTGATCATTCCGTGTATTTCCATTTCTTCAGAGTTTATCTTTTAGAACCTAATTATTTCTTCCTGTGGTGTTCTATTTCCTGTCTTTTGTGTTCTATTATTGTTGTTCGAAACTTAGATGGTCTTATAAAAAAAACAAAAAAAAACAAAAACCCAAAGCCAGATAGTGGGGTGAAAGCCGAAAGATCAGAGAAGCAGAACAAGCCACAGCCAACCTCACCTCGCCAACTCCTCAGCTGATCCTGTTTCCTCAGCCTGAAAGCCTCTGAGTCCTCACCCGAAAGGGTCTCTGCTGAACTGCTTTAGTTCCTGTTTCCTCACGCCTTATATACCTTTCTCTGCTCAGTCATGTCACTTCCTGGGATTAAAGGCGTGTGTGCTTCCCAGTACTGGTGTTAAAAGTGTGTGCCACCACTGCCTGGCTCTGTTTCCAAGGTAGCCTTGAACTCACAGAGATTCAGATGGATCTCTGCCTCCTGAGGGATAGGATTAAGGATGTGTGCCACCACTGTCTGGCCTCTAAGTCTAATCTAGCAGCTGGCTCTATTGGGGTACACAATATGTCACCACATGTTATAGGCATCTGTGCACTGAAACTATAAGAATATTTTCTTACAAGTGTATATTATACACCAAGTGTGTTTTCCACCTCCTTCCTGTGCACCTGTCCCCTCCCGTCAGTCCCTTTGTCCCCTGGATGGTTTCGCTTTGTCTCTCATGTCACATACACACACATGACTTTATGTATCTCTATGAAATCTAAGAACCAAAAATGAGCGAAAAAAGCACAGTATTTTTCTTTCTAAAATTGGTTTTATTCACTTACTGTAACCACCTGCAGCTATATTCTCTTCCTGGAAACAGCATAGCTTGATTACTTAGGTGTCTGCCTGGTGAGTTTTGACTGGATGCCAGGCATTGTAAATAGTTTCTTCTCGCCTACTGTGTACTTTTGGATTCTGATATCTTCAGCTTTGTTTTAGGATTACAGTTAAGCTTCCTGGCAATGATTTGTTGTCTCTCGAAACTGATTGCAGGTTTGTTTCCTCCCTAGTTCTTAAGGGTCATGGTTGCTTACTACCTGTTATTACCACCGAGTTCATGAGAGGAATCCGATTACTTTCAGCAGAGTCAGGCCTCTGAAGGTCTTCATTTGAAACTGAAGTGGATACTTTTGTTACCGGAGGTGTACTTCAGGGGAACAGTTCTTTCAGTCATTTGGATCTGCAGCAGAGACAGGAAGTAGGGATCCTTTGGGCATTGGTTTGCCTCATCCATAGGGAACTTTCTAGCCATTTGCCTATAACAAGAGCCTATAGAAATGGGAGCAGGGAGGACAGTCATCAGATGAATCTCTCCATCTTGAGAATGTAGCAAATAGAAGATGTGCAAGTTCTAATTCTTCAGACCTATGGGATTTGAAATCC